TCATCTTCTCGAAGCCAAAATGCACGCTTCAGACTTCAAACAGCAGTAAATCACTTCATTTCTCTAAATCACTGACTGCCATATGGCGTTAACAGCCCTACGAACAGCACATGAATATACGATAACATACGATAGGTCGACGAGGAAGGAATCCAACGGTAACCAACCGGCTCGTTTGCGAAAAAATTTCTAAATGAAAAACTAGTTCACCGATTCTCCGCTTGAGGGAGTTGGTGTTGTACAGATGTATATGGCGTCGCTCTGAACTCTGATTGGCTACTGTATGGAATTTGAATAAGGACCGGATGTGCCCTATCTAGTGTCACCCCACTGGTACAGAATGGAAATGCACACAATTGTAAATCAGTAGTGTGTACGGAAATGTGTTATGGACTTGGGTATACATATAAACTACAAAATGTCAAAAATGTCACGCACCGCGGCTCGGCGTAAATCTAGTGAAATTCCCGAACTTATGTACGTCAGGGATCTGAACTCAGAAAAATTGTCGAAAAACAAGAAAAAAAAAAGAATCTCTAATCGATATCGAAATAGGAAATCGCTATCGAATCTGGATCGCTATCGAATCTGGATATCGAAATGGGAAAGTAGTATCAAAATGGGAAATTAATATCAAAAGAGGAAACCGATACCTAAATTGGAAATAGATATAAAAATTGCTAGTCGATATCGACATGTGAAATTCATATCAATATAGGAAATCGATATCGAATTGCGAAATCCGTTTCGACATGAAAAATCAATATCTAAATCTGAAATTGATATTGAAATATGAAATCGATATTGAAGTGGGAAATCGATATATGTTGGAAATTAATATCGAAATGGGAAATGGATTTTGATATCAGAAGTCGAAATCGAAACGTAAAATCAATATCGAACTTGGACATCAAAATTATAATAGGATATTGTTATTGAAACGAGAATTTAATATCAAAATGGCATTCTGGTATCAAAATAGGAAATCAATATGAAACCGGGAAGAGTGTGTGTGGTGAGGAAAGTTGAGGTCATGTATATGAAGTGAGGTTAGGTGAAGTAAGGTGACGTGAGGAGGCGCTGATGTAGTGAAGCAGATTGTGTTGTATATTTGTGTTCAACATTTTTGCTCCGAGCAATGTCCTTTGTTGTTAAAATAATAATTATTAGATGTTATTTTTATATATAGTGCATTTAGCACTATTACTTCTAGAAGTATAAAGAAGAAATTTGGAGCCCTTTTTATGAAATATCCCTTTTTTTATATTTATAATTGCTTATATAACACGCAACTACGACGGAAAACTATAAAAATGTTCAAATAATGTCTACTAATTTTATGTAAATGAAAAGTCTATATCTGCAATTCACTTTTTGTAAAAAGACGCCGGAAATACTTCAAATATTTGAAATTTTGAAACATGCAAAATTAATCCCGAAAATCGGACATATTTATAAGCGTTTAATGAAACCCTAATCGTACAAGAAATTTTGATACCAAGATTTGGAACGGTTTTCAAGTAAATTATGAAAATGTCCGAGAGCTTTATGTAAATTACCGCTAAATCTAACAGAATATTTTAAAAAATCTTAAAGCTGTATTTCATATCAGATACACATTTTTTTTCAGTTTAGAAAAAATTCTATGCACGGTTTCGTCGCTAGTGGTCACAATATACTGACTGTGGAAAGATTGACTGAAAACGGAGAAACGGACGGGCCATTTGAAAGAAGAAAAAAACAACGCTTTTACTGCGCCAGGGGACCTCTATACCTGTATTTCTTTTGAAACATGGAAATAGATTTTTTCGCGGCATTTCATAACCTTTCTTCTTCTTCTAGGTGTATTACTCTGTCACGTATGCAAAAACGTAAAATCAACTTCACCTTTCATTTCCGGGCAACAGTAATTGCGAACAATTAGTGATCGATCTACTCAAATTAATATCAAACAGACATATGGGCCTAGCACACAAGTTACAGCAATTATGAACCCACAAGCCTACAATTATTCACTGCCCACAAATATCCATATATTCCTTGAAAATGTTGAATAATGAGAGAAATCACCCTCTCTCTCTCTAACATCTAAATTAATACAGATAATTGCATATAACTGTATTAATTTACATCTTAGAGATTCTTTTTTTCTTGTTTTTCGACAATTTTTCTGAGTTCAGATCCCTGACGTACATAAGTTCGGGAATTTCACTAGATTTACGCCGAGCCGCGGTGCGTGACATTTTTGACATTTTGTAGTTTATGTGTATACCCAAGTCCATAACACATTTCCGTACACACTACTGATTTACAATTGTGTGCATTTCCATTCTGTACAAGATTCCAAGGCCTAAATATCCAATCCGAAAAAAGGAATTGTCATCGAAGTTTCCATAATATCGATATTTAACTTTTCACGGCGTGTGTTTAGCACAATTTAGGTTATAAAATGACAGATGCTAATATATGATTAAATCATATATTACTTGTCCATCCGCACATTCTGAAAATACGATTTCTTATTTCATTATCGATTCATTTTCAATATCTATTTGCCATTTTATATAGATTTTACTTTTCGACCCTCTTCTATGTCTAAAGCCAAGCGGTTCATTGAAGCAATCAAAAAATACATTTTCATAAACCAGCTTCACTGTGTAGCTTTGTACAATGCATACATGGGATGTGTTGACAGCGTGGATTAAAACAGCCAAAATAAGAGTTAATATAAGAGATAAGAAGTGGTATTAGCAATTGTTCTCTTATCTAAATTGCTCGGTTAACAATGCTTGGCCTGAGACAATGGGCCTGAGACAAAAATAACTTGCTTGATTTTCGTGGATTTGCTAGAAAGAGGTGTCTTGCATATTTTCATAAAGTTTTCCTTAAAGACGATTTCCTTAACTTGGAAGACCTAGCTTTAATGTTAAACTATGTTAATTAATGCACAACGAAGAAACGGCGTTAATGCACAATCGCGATGTGCCCATTGGAACACAAATGCAAGGATGATGTGCTGCAAATGTAAAGTTGTAATGCATACAAGATGCTTTGTAGTATTTGACAGTAAATAAACTAATTTTTGTAATGTTCTTCTATTTC